GAAGGAAACTCTGCTTTTCAGTTGTCTTAGGCTGTCTCTTATACACATCTAGATGTGTATAAGAGACAGTATATATATACTGTAAAGTTTGAAGAAACGTAAAGTTTAAACAAAGTTAGTGGTCAGCCTCTCATTAAATATCTGCAAAACGTTCCCACGTGTTTTAATGGCAACATTTCCACAAGTTCCTGAATGTCACGAGAGTTAGGTTTTTGAAGATCTGTTCTTGGGAGTTGGCCTACAGTACTCCTCAAGATGTTTTTGTGACGACCGCGCTTACCTCAGTGGATGATTGGCAGCATCACAGATCAGCGAACTACAAAACACGGTATACAGAAGTAGTGATTTTAATGTGTTTCTTGTATAATATGACTTGCATACTAAATATAACGTTTACTGTATTCAGTGCTCCATATTCAATATCGGACGGTGATGTTGCTTTAAAATATTGTAATGAAAAAGTCGGGTAGAACGGATTTGATGGCTACCAAGAAACGTTTTATTCCCTTCGTCGGTCTTTTAAAGTAGTGGCGTGCCGTATACGCTGGTTACGCCCCTCCAAAAAAAAAATCACCTCAAATCACCCTTTTTGGCAAGCTAGTTCCCCTTTACCTAATTCTTGATTCCACTTCACCTTCGCCTCCCCTCGCCTCCCCCCCCCCATCATCCCCCACACCATTTCAACCGGGCTTCAAGTAGATATACTACTAAGACCCGGCTGCATCACTTAAATTTCTAATGATTCGCAGTACAATGTAGATCAACATGTGGATGGATAATAGAGTGATGGTAGTTTGAAGAGTACACATCACAAAAATGATCAATCATCATTATTGCACCATGTTGACTTCGATTTGATTGACGAATTGTAGGCTAATTTCAGTTAAAAGGCTAATAATTAAAGTGATTTATCTTAATTGCCTTTATGCAATGTGCGAGAGCATTTAACCATAGAGAAAATTCTATTTTCTCATGATTTAACCACATAGCCAAATCACTTCAACTCTCAACGTATTAAGTAGCCGTCTTTTAACCTTTCTACTAAGTCTCTGGTGGGATTCGAACCTGTTTCTCGCTGTTAAGGCGAGTGACATACCGTCAAAACTTATTTACAAAAAAAATGTTTCTTCGGAGATCCTGTCTTCAAATAGGCCTACAGAGTGTATCACATTGTCTCTGTGACTAGTGTTGTTCAATTACGCATGCGCAAGACTACGACGAATTTTCGTTTAATCGGATATGAATTCCCAACAAAGCCTCAATGGATCAGTTGATTCATTATTATAAGTTTGATCGTCACGAATTCATTTAATTTAATTCGAAACGTTCGATTTTCAGCTGTTTTCGCTATTTTTTGCACATTTCTCTTCATAACTTTACTCCTACTTGTCCGATTTTCGCCATTGTTCTTTTACCCTATTCCAACAGTAATCTTAATTTTAATCCATAAGGTTGCCAAATCTCGTCGGACTTTTTAATTTTGTAACCGTGGTTTTTCGTTTTTTCCGTGTAAATCCTACGGTTTTAGCAGAAATGTGGTGAACCGCAAGTTTTTTTGTAGTAGCTCCGCTCTGATATTGGGCCGATTTTCGGCATTGTAATAATAATAATAATAATAATAATTTATTATTACACTTACACTTTTGTTACAATGGCACTCGTCAATTGACGGTGCGTTCAAGACCTAACAAAATTACAAAAAAGAAGTTACATTTAAAAAAAATACAAAAAGCACAAGTACAAAATTTGAAAGCCCCTTCTTGTCATAACTTAACAATTAAACTTAAACTAGAAATTGCAAATTTCAAGTGAAGTGCTGCGAAGTAAAACTGCATAAAATGTTCTTCGAACAAAATTATTTATGCGAGTCAAGTGAAAATAATGAATAATAAAAATATAACAAATAATATGATACACAACCCATTGTCTATATTAGAACAGCGTTGGTACGTGTACAATAGTGTTTTGCTGCAGTGACATCTCGCTGCTGGCGACTCACTGCTGCTGGCGATGACTCGCTGCTGGCGAATCGATCTGCGCATGTGTATAAAATGGTATTTATTTCCGAAAACAGTATGCCAGTCTACAACAAGCGTCGCCTAAATGTAATAATTAGCACGTTGAAATAGGCTAGTAAATAAGTTTAACTGGGTTCATAAATAATATTGGCCTCAAAATATTGTGGCTGAGACATGAGCCGATTAAACGTAGAAATAGGAAACCTAGAAATATAGTAAAAACACTGAATAGTACTCCATCGTCGCGACACGCGGACGTTGGTACGACTAGGTTAGTCTACAAACGTCGCCTAAAGTAATTAATTTTACCCGGCGGAACGAAAGAAGGAAACTCTGCTTTTCAGTTGTCTTAGGCGCAGGTATTTTGACAAACAATGACCTTTCAGAGGTCAAATTGCTGTCAAGAATATGAATTAGCTGCTTCGCAGCAATTAAACTACTTAAAGTATATAAATACAAAGTAGATACAGCAATACAGACTTATTTTCCTGTACAGTACTATAAGCCTAAACTTACACACACACATCTAGTATAGGTAAACACAATCCAATAAGAGAAATATCGAGAAAAAAAATCAACGTCACAACATAGCAAATCATTAAAAGAATACAAGTTTATAACCGGTATATGTACATG